TATTGGTAAAATTTCAGTATTAAATTAAATACCAAGATTTATAAAAATTGAAAAATCATAGAAGCAAAAAATGTATATTTTTACAACGAATATCGAAAATTAAGTAGTTTATTGATCAGTGGAATAAGAATATTGAATATAAATACCACAAAAAGCTTTGTGTAAAAGAATAGAGTTAATATACATAAACATTTTTTTATAATGTGTTTTCTACGTAATTAATTATAAAAAGGAAACTGGATTGAGCGGAAAAAGGACTAGTATATTCTTCCACTTATGCTTATGTTTATTTATTAATTGTTGCGACGGAAGTCATCAAACTTGAAAATTTAATAAAAATATTCACAATGAGCATTCTTTCTTTCTTTCTCTCGTACGTTTTTATCCTTTCTCTCTCGCTTTCTCTCTCTCTTTCTCTCCCTTTCTCTCATACTTGTCTCTGTTACGCGCACGGCCGTAACATTCTTCGTGAGCTAATGCGCGTGGTATGGGCCAATTTAACCAATGTAGAACTTGTGTCCAGCACTCGTTGGACACTTGTGTTGTGTGGTTATGTATGTATGAATGTGTGGTATGATGTATATGTACATTCAATTATTAATAATTATTATTAATAACAACAATAACTAATTAATACGAATAGAAAATCATGTTTCACGGTGAATGACTCGATTTCTTATTTTCTTTTTTCCCTTAAGATTCGATGAATGTTCGTTCCAGAGTAGTTGCCTTTCGTCCATAGATGTGAAGAGTACGTTTCAGCAATGTCAGTGCAACATGCAAATTCAGTTAAGCGAGGCCTTCAATTTCGGCGAATTGCTGTTTCGAAAATTATCGAAAAAATTCCAAACAGCTATTAGTCCTTGCTCAACATCAGAGTTGCCAATGACAATACACAAAGCTGGGATATCTTCACTGTGCTGACTCTGGCATTAAAATTACAATAACAGCATGATTCCGTTTACGGCAAACTGATCAGTTTATCAGTTCACCTGATTGATTGTATTACTGATTCAGTCCAGGATGACAACCATGTCATCACCACGTACTGCTCTCTGTGGGTGAGGAGGATGCAAAGGAGCTGGTAATCTACGCCATGGTTTGCGTGCAGCTCTTCGAAGTTCTACAGATGAAAGGGTTTTTCTAAGTCTTCTGCAAGTTAATAATATTCACTTATTATTTGTGTTTTTATTTACTCAATTTTTTCTTTCTTCACTAACAAATGTGCAAGAAGATATTATATTATACATAATAAAATTAGAGTATGTACTAACTTGGTTTGATCTGAAGCACGAAAGTAAACGTCATCAGGTGCGTCCATCCATGAAATTACTTGTTTGCGCGCATTACTTCTAGATAATGGTGGACCATGTGGCAAGGTATGAGGATGAGCAGCTCTTCCATTTAGAGGTGGTGCTAAGGGAAGAACAGTGGGCGCAGTGTGCTCCAAAGTATGTTTTGGATGTAGCTGCTGAGAATGATGAGCCCTTTTAGCAGGTGGTCCACCAGGGAGCCCTGCACTTAGGGCAATACCTATTGAAAATGTTCACATTTATATAACATTCAAACTGAAGTGCATAATAATTTCAAAATAATATAAAATTATTAAACCGATGTTGCGTATTCCTTTGGAACAAATGTTAAACTGTTCAATTTAATAATTTCGATTATTTTTTTATATTTTTGTCGTGTACTTAGACTCTTAGGCACTGAATTATTTTACCTTCATCCCAATCCACATCAGAGTAGAAGCCAGTAAACAAAGTCCACATTCAATACTAGGATTTAAGGTTTTACGATATACATTAATAAATGCATAATTCTAAAGCTTACCATCTGATCCGTTGATCTCATCGAATGGAGGTCTTGTGCGTTTCAATATCGTTTGTTGAGCCTGCATACTAGGTTGTGGCTGAGGTGGAGTTACTGTCAGCCTATCTACTTCAGACTTATTTGGTACTCTTTCATATAGAAGGCTTCCATCTGTAATGCAATTGTTAAAAAATAATATTAAATGCTTTGCATTCAGTAATATAGATAAAATTTTATTCAATGGAAATTTATGTACCTGGTGCTTTGGGTGGTCTAGGAAAAGAAACCCGATCAGGTTGTTTTCGTTGTGCCGCTGCTGTAAGAGCTAACCAATCCCAATCTCCAGGTTGTCGTGGAGCAGGATGATCACCCAAACGGGTTGCTATATCGGTTACACGAGGACGAGGTCGTGGCCGTACAGCACGTGCTAAAATACGTAACTCCACAGAGCTTTTTGACGTTAATTGAGGAGAAGCGCAAAGATGTCGCAATGGTGCTGCATTTACAGGTTGATGGGGTGCTCGCGCCGCATGACGTGTACGTAATTGAGCTGCACATAATCGTCGTGCAGCTCGCGCTAATGCTGAAGTACGTAAATAAAACGCAGATCGAGTTTTCATCACAGGCCTAGGAGATCCACCTCCGCCACCTCCACTTGCTCCGCTTCCACGTAGGTCAACACCATGAGCACTTGCATAGTGGCGACTTAAATGTGCTTTGAGCTTGAATTCTTTACCACAAGAAGGAATGCTACATCGATGAGGTCTATGCGCACCACCAATTCCTTTACTTTCCTCATCTGAGCCAGTGCCGCCTCTTTTTCTTTCTAGATCAACATCGTCCATACGTGACGGAACCTAAATGTAAAGAATTTCCGAAAAAAAAAAAAAAAAAAATATAAAGTATTTTCCAAATAATGTATAAACTTTATTACTTAAATATACTGATTGATATATACCTTCAGACCACCATATTTCTTCCAATATGTCCAACAGGACTGACAAAGGCGACATTGCATATGTGATGGACCCCAAGCATACCATTGTGGACTTTGCATAACTTGGCAACTTTCGCATGGTTTCCCACTAACCCCAACCATTAATATTCCACTATTATCAGTTGTCATATTACCATTGCTATTACCATTGAGAACATTAGTTGGTTTGCCATTACTGTTGCTATTATTATTACCAAGAGGTACAATTGTTGCTGCAGATGGGGCGGTTGTTGGTGGAGCTGTTTTATTATAGTTTGGTATATAAACTTGCTTCAATTTACTTTCAGCTTCTACAGCTTTTACCCTTTTCTGTTGAACGTATCTATCCGTTGTTTTCCACATGTAATAATACTCAATAACATTCTTTAATGTTTTCCATGGTAACTAAAATATACGGATGTTCGTTAAAATAAAATTTCACAGAATAAGAAAAGTACGAGATTTGATTTATTTTGTAATATATACTTACAAAATCTTGACGTATATCTGAAAAATCTTTTCCATATTTATCAAGAGCTTCTTCAAAAAGATTTGCTTCAGATGCACTCCATTCTTCCATTTCATCTCTGCATAATACTGGACCAGTGCTGGGTACTAAAGATGACATTGCTTTTGCAACGTCATAATTATGTCGATGTAAAGTATCCATTGCATGGAACTATGAATGTACAAGTAGGTATGAGAAAGTCTTTTTTAAAAGAATATGTAAATCATAGAGCAATAATTAATGATAATGATATTTACAAGAGTAATGTCTCTAGATGCAGCTGCCGCAGACATATGCAAAGATGGCTGTTTAACTGAAGATGAACAGTCTAAAGCTCTTGCAAATGTGCCTACAGATCTACTGACAACAAGGAATTGATCAATTTGACGGTCTGTTAGTGAATGCCGTGGCGTCCAAACCAGGGTTTCTAAATCTTGCAACCTACGAGGATCTGATTCTCTTTCGGCAGGTGTCAGTGGAGTTGGTGCTATTCCATCAGCTTGATATCTACTACCTACTCTAATTTCACCTGTAATATTTTACATTTGTTAAAGTTTAAGTATATAGAGAAATATTGTAAAGATTAATTACAGTATTTAATATTTTCTTTTAATAATATCAATAAATACCTTTGTCAGCAAGCAAAGTACGTTGAGCAGGATCAAATACTAGGCAATAGAAGAAAGAGTCTTCCTTGTTTAAATAGCTTAGTAAAGATTCTGTTTCATTTAACAAAGTTACACAGCATTTGCCTCTTATATGTGTTGCAGGCATTGTTTCCACTTGACGCGATAGAAATAATTCTCTGTGCTTCATTTGGTGACGTTGCTTAGAACTCAATTCTGTAACTCCCCCAGCACCAACTACATTTTCTTCCATCCCTATATGTAAACAATTAAAATTTTTAATTATACATATATTCATCCCAATTTTTTAAATAAACATTTTAAAAAAGCTTGAATAACAAAATATTTCACTTAAAGATGAAGAAAGTAAAGAAGGCTACATATATTTAATAGTCAAAGACTTTGAGTAATTTTATTATTTTTTCTGTAGAACATAATGCTAATAAGAAATTCAACACTTGAACCAGAATTACTTATAATTTCAATTAGATATTTTAATATGAACCTTTTACATTAATGAAGTATTGCTTTTATTCTTATATTATATAAAAATATTACCTAAACTTATTCATGCATTTTTGGTCACTTATTATTACTATTACTTTCTTTTTTCAACATATACAAATGAAATGTAAATGAAA